AGTTGAGCTATTCTTTTTGTGGTGCATGTCAGCTCGCGAACATGTGAACTTAGGATTCTGGTTTGCTCAGGCCTTTGAGATCATTATTCGATCCAATCGCCCGCTTATCCTTGGCCCTTACATCACCCATTTAGCTTCTCGCATCGCTAACTTTGATGTAACATGATTTACTTATGCTTTTTCTGTAGATTCTTTAGACGAGCGATGCTTGGATTTAATGGGCCTACTCGCGGGAACCCCGACCGCACCTTACTTCATTCTGTCGGGTGTCCTCACTCCTTGTAGCGAGCTAGTCTTCATGCGTCAAAATGAACCAGCGCCGCCACCTGCAGCACCAAGCCCGGATATGCAATCCCAAATGGATGAAGTCCACGACTGCCTCCACTCCATCGAGACGAACATCACAAAGATTCTCTCCTACCTACGTCCTATCATCTCTCATCGCGGCCGTGGCCGTGACCGTGGTCAACACTAAATCCGAGGAGTACTCTATTCCTTCTCTTTTACTTTATTTTTACGGTTTGAGGTAAAATGCTTTAAGTGAGGTGGAGTAGAGTGTAGGATTGAATTTCACCTTCCTTATCCTAATGTTTCGATGCTAGTATGTGTTGGTTGGATTTGTCAGAAATTTCATTGATTTTTTTTGTCTTGTTGAAATTTTTGGAACGCTATGCTTGTTTGGGAACACATAATTGTTTAGGTTAGGATGTTCTTGATAGTGAATAGTATGAATTGTGATAAGTCAGTGTTTTGTGTTATTCCATGACTTTGTTGGTTGCAATGTGATTAGCTCAATGTATGAAACAATTTGGTGAGATTTGAGCCTTTACGAGCATATCATTTTCGCTCTCATTTTGTTGGATTGAGTGTGTCGAATTTGGCACTGATATTCTAGAACTTGCATGATAAATACTGTCGAGATTACACATGAACATGATGCTTAAAAATGATTTGGGCACCTTAGGATTAATTATTCCATTTCCTCACTAAATAGCCTACCCATGCATTTTTCGTTTAGTTAACCACTTTTGAGCTTATTCCATCTTCTTTGTTTTCACCATGTTTACAAATCGAGCCTTTTATTTTATCACTTTTTTCTACCATTTTAAGGGCATGTGAACAATTATTCATGGTATGCTCCATCGAAAAAAGAGAGCGAGAGAGAGGAAAAATGGTAGTAGTTCGAAAAAAAAGATAAGAAAAGAAAAAAAAGATGATGATCGAAAAAGAGAGAAAAAAAAGACATGAAAAAATGGAAAACAAAAGTGTGCAAAAGAAAAAATCAAATGCATTTCGAAAAGAATTTTTTTGTTTGATATGCTGTCTTTTTATCTTGTTGTGCTTAATGTTTTGATGGAGTTGAGATTATTGTTTGTTAAGTTATTTGCCTTGAACATTCAGCCATATATTTAGCCTTTTCCCCACCTTTACCTAAGCCCCGTTACAACCAATAAAATACCCTTTGATTTATGCATCGTGTTCTCATTAGTAGTGGAGATTTGATTTACTTGCAGGCCTATGGTAATGTCATGTTGATTCTGTCATTGAGCTTTTCTTTACCCCAAACACATTGAGTGATTTGAGTGAATCCCGGTAAGGCATTGAGTTATAAGCATTAAGATTGATGAATGAATGGATATTATGATTGCACTTGACTTGTTCCAATTGATGATGTTCAATTGATTGATTTCTTGACTTGAATTGTTATTATGGTCTCTACCTTGCTTCCTCAGACATGAAACTTGACAAAGAACAGTAAATGAAATTTTTGACTAATTTGATTAATCATACTTGAGGACAAAGAATAACAATAAAGCTAATAAGGAGTGACATCAATCGCCCTCCAATTGACACCATATCAGTAACTTTGGCAATCTTAATGGCATGTAATCATTTTTACATTAAAATACATTCGATTCAACCGAGAATCAACTAAACCTGTAGCTCTGATACTAATAAATGTAACACCCATCTCCCGTATACCCTTCCGTACACGAGATATGGATGTCACATCACTTTATAAAGTTTTTAATAATTTGAAAACCCTTAAAATTTTTGTTTCAATTTTAATAACTACAAAATATGACATTCATAGTATCAATATACTAAAGCTATCATTTAAGTACATTACAAAATATTTACTGTAGTTTAATTAAATGCCAACTAGGTTCTCAAAACGAATAAGATTGTCATAATGTTACTGATGAGTCAACCTTTAATTGATGAAAGCTGCTGCTACTGCTGCACTCCTTATGCAACTAATCGTTGCCTTTAACTACACGTGAAGTCAACATAATTTAAGTGTTTACTTAGTGAGACATAATACTGTAAAAATATTACAATTGTATGACAATATCCTATGAATACTGCAAGAATAATTAAATTGCATCATTTATAAGGACTAGTTAAGCCATTCTCCATAAACCATAATTCTTTCATACCAACATGGAAATTATTTCTAGTGTGCCCATCATACCTCAACAGTGTTTAACCGTTCATCTTTTACCTAACAGTATTTAACTTTTCATCTAATTAACATAAATGACACCTTTTTGCCAAATGCACAGCTAGGCCATTATTATTTTACTTTAGACCAGTTTCTATTATAATAATCATTCATAATATAATTTACCCCTTTCAATCATTATATATTCTATGGTTTATTCATATATTGATAGTACCGTGATGTCTCAACCATTTCAATAATTTATGTTGTTCGCATACCCATTACCAATATAAAGAACCATTTCCTTATTATAAAGTTCTTATGTTTATACACATATTTCCCATATGGAAATTCATACACTTAGTATAAATCTCTTAACGGATTGCACACAAATTGCCTAATACGGAAATTCTCGAATCCTTGTCAATTAAACTATATTCCATCCGAAATGATCATAATCAATGACCATTATTATTTCTTTTCATTTATGACATCCATTCATATTTGTCCTGCATTTCAGCTATGGCATCCTTTCATGCCAGTAATATACCCATATGCATTATTCTTTTATGCCGATAATGCACCCATATACATTTTAGCTATGACATCCTTTCATGCAAATAATGCACCCATATGCATTATTCTTTTATGCCAATAATGCACCCATATGCATTTCAGCTACGGCATCCTTTCATGTCAATAATGTACCCATATGCATTATTATTTTATGTCGATAATGCACCCATATGCAATTCAACTATGACATCATTTCATGCCAATAATGCACCCATATTCATTATTATTTTATGTCGATAATGCACCCATATGCAATTCAGCTATGGCATCCTTTCATGCCAATAATGCACCCATATACATTATTCTTTTATGCCGATAATACATCCATATT